TTCCACAGCCTAACCGGGTGCGATACAACATCACAGTTTTTTGGTTGTGGAAAGAAGACTGCCTGGGCAGCATGGGCCAGCTTACCAGAGTTAACCAACACATTGGTGACCCTCACGCGAAATCCTGATGTCTTTACTCTCGAGTCGATACATATGCAGCGGATCGAATGCCTAGTTGTTCTCATGTACAGCAAGGAATGTGGTGCAGATGGTGTCAACGAGGCCCGGCATCGCCTATTCTCCACTGGAAGCAGAATGTTGGACAACCTCCCACCTACACAGGCAGCACTGTTCCAGCATGTCAAACGAGCGCTACTTCAGGCCAGCTTCTACTGGAATCAGTCTACCACAGTGAAGCAACGAATTCCCGACTTCAGTGAGTGGGGCTGGCAAGAAGATGTTACGGGTGCCTGGCAGCCGCTATGGACTACACTCCGTGACGCTTCAGAAGCATGCACCCTTCTGGCTGCACTGCAGCTAGCCTCTCAAGTCATGCACATGAAGATGCAAGTGGCAATCGCGCCGTTTGTCGGTGCAACGATGCTGCTGCTAAAGCGAGAGGCGGATGTACGCAACAACGTTGACAGCAATCGACTAGTGGGACTTAATGCTAAAATGTACGGGCGAAGGCCATACATAATATCGAGAGCACTGTTGGGCCAAGTTACTTACTGATTATCTAAATGGACGCAACGCAATGACAGTAATTCACTTCTACCAAAAGATTCCAATATCGAAAAGCCTACGTTGCTGTTGATATTGTCTCTTTAATACACAACTGTGTAACTGTCATATGTTAACCGTAACATACATGTAGGATAGATGACCAATATGGAATAGACCAATCAGCAAGTTTAATAATTCTTGTTGAAGCATGTCCCACACATTGTCCACCATGCTTTGAGCTTCGTAGAATAAAAAATTTAACAAGAATTATTTGGTAGCTTAAATCATTCCTTTTAATTATTTCTTTAACGATAATGTAGTCCAGTAGTTTATGTGTGCATGTTAGATAATTGATCCAGCTCAAATTAGTTTCGATTCCACATTACATCCCCCCAAAGATAGAAAGAGATTAGAAAATCTAACGTATAACACATCACACGCATTTGCCCGTATGGCAGCCATATTAGATTTGACCATTGTAACAGCCCAAAGACCTCAAACTGATGAAGAAGCATTCATAATCAGGATTCCGCTGACGCCTAGAAGAACCCCATAAATATATAAATATTTAACATACTAGCCATTCCTTTTTGGAACTAACACTTGATCTTTAGCTCAGATGCGGCCAATTTTGGATTTGCTCAATATGGCGGCCCCAGGGGCGCCCTTCTTGGCGCCGGCCGAAATCGTAATAATATGGTATAAGCTACCTCTGCGACCAAATTGGTACTTTAGAAAGAGATCTGTCACCCAAAATATCCCTAACAGCCCTGACTAATTGTCTCTCGTTATATCTTCTTATATCTATTATTTATATCTTCAGGAGGACAGAAAACGGATCTTGACCCAATACTTGTTAATCCATTGGTTAGGAAAGTAAAGTGCTGTGCACCCAAATCCTGGCAAGAAAGCTGAAAAGTATAGCGAGCAAGATCAGTGTGTTTTAAGGCCTCAGTGACTGTGATATTACATCAACACCTTGATAGTCTGGTAGCTGTGCCTAAATAGAAATTATGAAATACTAATATAGATGACTGCAATGATAATTTAATTCAATTAATATTTGAAACTTAATTAAGTTAATTTTAAAATAATAAAATTAACTGCAATGTCGTAGAATCTTGTGTAATAACATCTCTTTGTGGTTACGACTAGCCTAAAAATAAAGACATATTAAGCTGTGTGTTAGCTGTTATATCCGTGTTTCCTATATTTTTCATTGTAGCTATAAGACCGGGGACAACTTGATCAAGGGGACAGTCGGGAGAACAAAGGGAAGTATACGATTAGCACAAAAAAAACAGCTCGTTGACGCATCTGTCTGAGGCTCGAAACTCGATATATATTAATATATATATATATATATATATATATATATAATATATATATATATACTATAACCCCAAGACAAGTTACTGATATAATATTATATACTATAGTACTATACTCATATATACATAATGTGCCATTCAAACAGAGACTTGTTCGAATAACGCGTTATTTACCCAACATGCGTCGTATTCGTGGACGCTGAGCGACAAATCTAGTGCATCTGCGCAAGCCGCAATCTAAACCGATTGGCAGCCTGTGCGGCAAGTTCCGAAATTGCGCTGGCATTATTAGCAGCATTACTCAATAATGAAGTAATCGATACGCCACGCAACGAAGAAAGTGCCTAGACTAATCTAAACATGTAACTTACAAGTAACTTTAACCTAACCTCAACGTTAGCAATTTCACGAGAGTCAGAGATATCAAAACAGACCAGACATGCCCTTACGCCAGAACATTACGTCCTGTAAAAGCCGGGGCCTGCGCAATGGTAGCGAAACTCTAGAACCAACATACGCTGAAAACGCGGCCAGCAAACCCTGTAAAAAACGGGCGATGCAGAAGATTTCGCGTAACATACACCTGCACCCACACCATATATCTATATATATATATATATGGCGATATCTATGGGTGTCACGATAGCGGTCCTATGGGCCTGGCCGGTAATGCGCACACTGTAACTACAACG